TGACTCGTAGAGGACAACACTGGACATTTATAGGACAGACGACGAGGAGAAACAGCGACAACGTCGGCACAAAAATCGCTGACGACAACCAGCCGAGTTCTTTGATTCATAAAGGGCGGTACTTGTGTCTGTTAGTGAGTGAAGGTTGCGCGACGCACAGCCTCACACGCAGCGCGTGTATATCTACCATCCAGTGGTGAATGCATTTGACTGCTGTAGTGTGTTCAGGGGCAGTCTTTCCAATACTCAGTGGAGTGTTGTGCGTTGCGGTTGAGCGTTGGCGTTCCAAACTTGCAGCTCTCTCAGTCGTTTTTAGTTGTCTATTGTTTAATTCCGCATCCACTCCTCCCTGAATATTTCGTCTACCAGTTGCCCTTATTTCTGGGGCCTTTTGACAATCGCAAAAAAAAGGGAGAGGAAGAAGAGGGGGAGAAGTTGTATAGATTTTCACTCTTCATTATTATTATTATTATTGTTATTATTATTATCACCATCATTATTTGTTACTGCCTGCCTTGTCTGGATATTCTGAATTTTTTTTGTTGTCTGGATTTTTTTAAAAATTTTCCGTTCGAACATAGTCCAGTTAGTTTTCCCCTTTAATACACATTTCCCACCCGATTATCACTTCGCTGACAACTGTCGTTACTTTTTTAACTCTGGTATTACCATGCATTCGCCAGCGGACGTTGATGAATTGATTGAAACGGAAGTATGCAATAGACTTATACGTCTCTCATGCGCAAAAATGGTTAATTCCAAAAATGAACGTGGTGGTGCAAAACTTCATCGAAGCCTTCTTATACTGCATCTTTTAAGGCGCGCAAGAAGCGAACAGAACAGGTGTGGTTTTGTTCATTTTTGGTTTTTTTCTTGCTCACATCTTTGCTTGTTTGTTACCGGTTTGGCTTTGTTCTTAGTTTAATGGTTTTGGTGATTGAGTTTAGTTATGACTGTTTTTTAAAACATTTTAAATGAAGTGTATAGTACTGTGCTAACAATCTTTAATATAGCGTGAGTTTTTATGCAGTTATAAAATTGTTCGGTAACGTTTATGTGGCGTTTATCCAGTGAACTATCATTATTGTTTAAGTAAATGTTAATAGAATTTTTTGCACATCGTTGAGCTAGAAGTTTAAGGAGTTCTCCGTGAGGCATTTGATCTTAGTTGGTTGAGAGTTTCGAAAACTTTACCGGCGTCACTGGCCCGTGGTTACTTAGCCTAGAATTCTCCGAACTTGCACTTTTATGGGATCAGCAACTTTTCACCCACATCGTTGATGAGTACTGAGGCTGTTGAATATATCTACCGTTCTGCCGGAGTTACTTTATTCTTTTAGACCACTTGCTGTCACTCAGGAGTCAGTAAGCGTGCCACCTCCTGAAGATTGTCCAGAAGCAGCATCAGTAGCTTTTAGTCCCCTTCCATTACAGTGTCCGGAAAATACAGCTGTGTATTCTCAAGCAAATGAGCAGATAACATACGAGAGCGGTGTTAATCCATATTTCGATCTCAGTAACAGGTAAAAAACTTTCAGGATTTCTGAAATACTGAAGTTTTTAAGTTTTTAGCTAAGATTTGCCGAATTGGTTCAATATTTATGTGAGGAAGAGAGATAGTCTTTATTCGGTTCTCTGGATACACTACAGCTTGATGTGTGAAAATTTCATAGAGTCAGATGGTCTAAAATTCAGGTCTTTTTTCTTTCTGGTCATAACTTTCTTGTATTTTGAAGGCAGTTCTGCGTTTGCGTGACTGGAATAGATGCTGTGGATTAAAATATACTCTCAAAAATTTTTGACTTCGAAATATATGGTTTTTCTTTTAGCCAGCCTCTGAAGGATGATAGTGGCTGTGGTCCAGCTGTTGGAATTATGACAGATAATGGAAGCACATCAAACATTTTGAGTAATAACCTTTACCAGCTGCAGTACGAGAATGAAAGGATAGAATTAGAAGTAGAGCTTGGTTCGGAAGGTTTGAGTAATCAAGAAATTCCGATGATGTCAGCACCTCTGCCTATTGAGTGTTCGCTTTGTGATGGAAATTCGTGTGCTTTTCAAGCTGAGCAAATGTCTTCTTTTGATGTAGATGAAGAAGACGGAAATTACGAGTCAGTTAGTTCTCGTCAGCGTAAAAGGAAGACGTCTATGTCGCAGTCCTGTTCGTCAACTACACCGAAAAAGTGTTGTGTTGAGGAACGGCAATTCACAGGTTTAATGTCGGTGTTTAACTCGGGCATTTCAGTAATGGCTGACCAGCTGTTACCGCGAGCAACAGCAGGACCACTTTTGCAGCCACCTTCGGACCAGTTGGTGCCTTCTTTAGTACGTATAGCCTGTAACCCATTAATTTGCTGAGTGTATTTGATGCCGGAAATTTTGCGCTGAGCGCAGGGTCGGCACTAGTTTTGAGAAGAAGCTAAAAGTAAAGGTTGAATGTTAGGATCATTTACAATGTCGGAGTCGTGGACCACCTTGAATTTTTTACTTGTAATATTCTGTTCTGCCGTTAGTTCAGTTTATGATTGATCTTTGTGATATGTGTACATTATTTCTATATTTTATGTTATTTTTTATTTGTTTTATGAAACTGCTGATTATATTGGTTATTTGAATCATTGATTACGACGTCCTACTTAATAATTTCTTATTAATTTTATTTTTCCATGATTTCATTTTAGATTATTTTGTTATAGAAATCTCGGAAGGAAACGTAAAAGAAGGTTTTGTTAAAATATTGTAAGAGTATAGGTTAGCGTTACAATTTTTGCTTGTTTATTCTATATCTTCGGATATTTACATTCGTTCCCGGATATCCCATATAGACTGCATACTTCATCTTTTTTTTGCCTTAGTCTTAGAACTGTATGCTTCATTGCCCAACAATTTGAGATCTCATAAAAGAGGTTAGTTAGGCTGGCATTTTAAGCGTTGTTTTTGAAGGCATATTCTGGTACCAAAGTGATTTCATTTCTCTTTCATTTCTGACAGCTGAGTCACAATAAACCTGGTTCGTAAATTTAGATGTAACTTTGAACTAGTTGGTTTCTTGTTTACGTTTTTCATGTTGCTTTTTTGAGTAGTTGGATATAAATATAGTTCAGTTTTGCTTTATTATTGCTATGGTTTCCCAAATGTCAGTTTCGTACTGTGTATAGTTTCACTTTGAAGAATAAAACTTAACTTGTTGCTGTTATGAAGCGTATCATTGGTCCGATTATACGTGCCACAATTGGGCGAAAGATTTAGAAGTTACTTGCACTGTCATTGTGTACTCGTGGCTGCTAGGAAGTTTTAATAGTTTTCTTCAGCAAGGCTGTATTGATATTCGTAAGAAGCGAAGGCGGTTTAGCTGGGAAGTTGTTCGGTTTTGGTAGACTTGGACAGTGAGGTGCCAGTAGGATACATATACTTTGAGCTTGTGGAGGGTCAACAGAAATGACACTTGTTTTAAATCGCTGGGTGTACTCGAAGTTTGTAGCTTGATAGGCTTTTGCAGCTGCAAGGGAGACGGTAGAGGGTAGTATGAGACAAAATATAGTTGATTGTTTTTTTTCTTCGTGTATGTTTTTTTTTGCAGATCATATGATCTTCGATATGGTTATCAGTTTAGCGACTGTATACGTCTGGTAGTAGTATTGACGTTACACCAAAATAGCAGTGATGTCAATACCAATTGATTAAATTTCGCATGCTGATGATATGATTTATTTGTAAAGGTGTTGTGATTTTCAACTGTGTGTTTTCAAATTTTTTTTATATACATTTTAATTGGATGAAAGAAAAGGGATAGGAAACAACACTCATTTTTCAGTATTTTTTTTCTTTTTTTTTGTTTCTGGTCTTTTATTGACTTAGACAAAGGTAAAGGACAAAAAAGAAGGGTACTACAATTTCAATTGATAAACGAATAACATTTTGTAAGGGGCAAAAAAAAAA